CTGCACCACTGGGTGGTGAATTAATAAACGACAAGGCAGATGTGGTCAAGGCCCCTTGGGAACAAGCAACAGAATCAGTAGAGAAACAAGATTGTTATGACCTGGAGAATGAGGCACCTGGGAGTAACCAGAGGGTCTGGCTGGCTCACTGCAATCAGAGGAAAGGCAAGACAGACATAAAACCAGATTGTGACCAATACCATCAGTATTGGAAATCTGCGCTGGCTGCTGAGGATGTGTAGCACACATGGGAATGCCCAGAGTGCTGTGATGTCAATTCTTAACTCAACTCAACTAAATTCAGTTGTCATGATAACCTGTATACCTTAGAAAAATATTTAAAGATCAGAATTGCAATAATAGCATAATTAAACCACATTTGATTTCATTAGAGAAACAGGAAGTTTTTTTTTAGATGCAAAATGTTGTGTTTGTCTTATTTTTATACTTGATCAACAGCACTGCCATCCATTTCAGTTAGCATTAGCTAGTCTTTATTTCAGAGACTTATTCTAAATACTTTGGATGTTATGACCATTCTTTTGTGACATGTAAAATTTCAGAACTGCAGAATCTGATTTTTTTTTAGCTTTCTTTAAAAAAAAAAATTAAAGTCGAGAGGACGCACTTAATTGCACAGAGTTTTATCCTATATGGCTCGGTCCCTTTTTGCAGAGCGGCTAGCTGCCTGCAGAGAGCGTGATCACACAAAGCATGAACTCCATAGCTCCAGTGACGATCCCCATGGATCTCCATAAAAATCGCACTCATGAACTGAACGGCGCCACCGTGAAACGAACGCCACGTCCTTCAGAGCGCGAGGCAAATATCTTGACCACTTCGCCAAAACGTTCCTAATGAAAAAATACCATACAATACATCTGATTAAAGAGAAATGAAAGCAGAATGCATGTAAACAATTTAACTCTTCCAGGGTGACATTTTCTTTTAGGTTTGGACAGCATTAACTTTGTGCTGAATTTGTTTACCCCAACATGACAAAGCTAAAACCTTTCTGAAGAAAAATTACAGGGACATGTAATATATCAAATGAAAGAGAAAAGATTGCAGAATAAATCTAAACTATTTAAGTATCAGTGTTGCAACAAAAAGCAGCAACAGTATGAGCAGTTCTTGGGACTGTTATTGTTCTTGTTTCCCTTACCATTTGGTCTGCTGTGTTTTGCAACAGATGTTTGAAATTCACCATTATCATCATCAACATCATTGTTGGAGAATTCTGAATCTTAAGTGCTTTCTTTATCTAACTACCGCTGCATAAGATCTGAAGTCTGATTTTTAGTCATTCTTTGAGCTTTAATCTGTAGTGGATGGAGGGTTAAAAACTGCCATTTCAGGAAAATCAGAAACATATTGAAACACTATGCAAAACGTCAAAACTAATAGACGGTGCTTTGTTAATTCTTGTTTTTCACAATTTATTTATAAAAATTTATTGTCCTAGCAAACAGTATTAGAGGGTCTCTACGCCCTTGGAGTGACGATCCATCCAATTGTGATGTATTTAAAAGCCACTTAAGTGACATTTCGTTCGCAAAGAGTTAATGTAGTGCATGAACTAGTCGGTCACAGCATACTAGCATCAATGTATGATAGAGTGTTGAGTTAACTTAAACATAAAAAAAAAAAATAACATAGTTCATTCATTTTCAAAATAATTGAAACAAGTAATTGGCTTTATTGGGACAAAAAAATAGGTTTTAAGTGTGAGAAACAAAGGGAAGCTGTAACAATGCATAAAACATTATCAGTTTGTGCACTGTGGGCATCGTAATAGCTACAGGACTATCAGAATCACAGTTAATGTGCAAAGACGCCAAGTTAATAAAATATAAGAATGTTGTAAACATGTGACGAGAATGACAACAGCTAAACTAAATTAAATTACATTAGGACACCGGTTATGGAAAATTTGCAAATGATGTTGGTCCAGTGGATTGTACATCTGAATTTATCTGCCCTTCCTTTGTCCACCTTAATTATCTAGGCCGAGATGAGATGTTTGCTTGATAAATTGAATGCTATAGTGTTTGATCCTAAATTGCCAGCTGTTGCATATGCTGGATGGTTTGAGCGTTTTAAGAGATGACACGTTGACAATTACGTAAGGCTGATAATTAATGGGATGCTGTTGCTGCTGAGAAGTTTCCAGCACATTTTGGAGCTGTAATTGAGGAGGGTGATTACAAGCAGCACAAAATGTTCAATCTTAATGAAATGGGGTTTATCTGAAAAAGTATACCAAACAGAACATTTCTGTTAGTGGGAGAAAGTGCAGAGTTCCAGTATTGTGGATCTGTCTCGCCTTTTCCTTGAATGTTGAGCATCAGCTAGTTCCCCTGGTCACCCCTTGCTGCATCATTCTCCTTTTACCATGATGATCTATTTTTGTCTCTGCACTAATGATACAGTTCTTTCAGCACATTGACAGTAAAGTTAAGATCATAGATGACAATGATCCAAACACCGACAGAAATGCCAAAGTTTCCACAGAGATTCAGAATTCTTTGGCCTGCTGTAAGGAACTATTCAGAGAGACAAAGAATGCTGCCGATCAGATAAGTCTAGATAATTTTCTAATACAAGGTGAAAATCACCAGCCTCCATGCAGTGACCCATTCAGGCTCTAGTCACATGCAGCCTTCTCAGGCACACTGGCAGTTAGTTCAGTATCATCTTGAACACGAAATAAGGAATGTTGGAAACACCACACCGCAGATCAAGTACAAAATGTTTATTAGTTCCAACAACTGTTTCCTTCAACAAAGCACTAGAGGTCACATTCCAAACATCAATGAATTCAACATTCCTTTTAAAGGATGGACAGACACAGCACCTCCAGCCACTGATACTTCAAAGGCTACCAGACGTACACTTGAGTAGAAAACACTTGTCACGTCGTAGACAACTCAGCCAATTGTACGGAGCTAGATAGTCAGGTTTTTCTGCCCTGGTCTGCTGTTTGTCCTAATATTAACTTTCTCTGCAGATTTACTCTCTTCTCATTCTGCAAGCGTCATACGACCCTATTTTGTAAACCTCAAAAACTGGACTGAATCTTCTCATAGTTCCAAGATTAGATCTTTTTCCCTCTCAAGTTCTTAAATGTTCCACACCTGATTTATCCTTTTTTTTTCTTTTCTGACTTGGCATACTTTCAGCCAGCTCGCACACTTGTCTTGAGTTATTCATTATTCAATCCTATCCCGGAATATTTTACACTTCATAATCGACACCATTCAACCAGACTTAGGCGCATAATTTAGGTTTTACCGTTGACCTCATTTACAATGAGAAAATGATTCATTACACTCCATCTCAAGATGTGTGGCTAAAGTGAAGTACCTGAGTGAACACCTTCCAGACTGCAAACTAAGTGATTAAAAACCCTGGCTCAAAGAGCCACTTATCAGATAACAATCCTGCAGGTATAAATTTCAGAAACGGTATTCAACTGAATGACGTAGTTAAATTGGGATGAACTAAACCTGTAGTTTATTGGCTCAGGGCCTGTTTAAAAAAAAGTACTAAAGTCTGCTTGCTTTTAACATATATGCCATATATTTGTTGTGTAATGTAATAAAATGGTATTCCATTGTAAAGATAGAAATCTCAATATTTCGTATTTTTCAAACATCAGCAACTGTTATGTAATGCATGTTAAAATCAATTAACATTTTGTGTTTTCATGTAACACAGTGATTTCTCAGATACCTGTAGATGCAGATCTTCTTCTTCATCTTCAGTTAGTTGTTTCCACTTCTGGACTTCTGTCCTGTTCCACGATTTGAGTGTTACGTGCACATTGATGTTATAGATCTGGCTCAATTATGTGCAGACAGACGGTTCCTTCCTCTGGGTGGGTCCAAGGTCCCAATTGGGGGTTAGGGAGGCATAGGTGCACTGCTCCTTTAGCAATTATGCAGAAGAAGGTGACTTAATAAGGGTTTGCTCAAACTGTACATGTGGAGCTAAAAGGCGAAGATTTCGCAGCCTAGCTGTAAAACACCACATACCAACCCTCTTTTGAGGGTAAAGCCTTGATGAAAAACATCAAATAAGCTAATTCTCATAATATATTCTCCTTTCTGTAAAATATTACTTTTGTTCTTGAGTTAGTGTTTTAACATACATTTTTCTTTTTGCGTGAATGTTTTTAAACAAAAGATTTTGTTTTTGAACAAAGAAGACACAAACAATACATTGAACAATTTATTGCTTGGCATATTTTGCTTTATCTTGTCAGATGCGTACTACAGTAACACTTGATTAACATGAAGCAAGTAAATGAATCCTTTGAACACAAAATTGACTGCATTCACAAACTGTTACACCAGGATAACCCCAAGGTGGAAATCATGTCTTTCTGTCTGCTTAAATCTGAATTTATCTGGTTGATATCCGAAGCTTCTGCAAACTTCAATAATCTAGGAAGTGTAAATAATTTGAAATGCATTATCCTTGTTTACAATGTCGATGTATACCAAATCTAATTGTATTTACCCGTGTAAATGCACCTGTAATGCTGCATATGTGGGAAGAACTGATCGACGACTGGAGAAACATGTTGCTGAACATATTCCACTGTTTACGATAAAAGCAGTGCAAAACATCAACAACAATTCAACAACAACGTATAAGGTGACTGGTAAAAAAAAATCCACCATCTGCAGCTGCAAGCCATATTCTAAATTTCTAGATCAGATATATGCAGACAAAGAGACATGCTTTTCACCTTGCGGTGACCCTTGTGAAACACTGTGAATGTAGTTGATTTTGTGTTTCAATTCGAAGGATTCATTTACTTGCTTCACAATCAATTTCTACTGTAGTATGCCCCTGATGAGATAAGTAAAATATGCCAGGCAATAAATAATCTATTGTTCGTGTCTTTGTTCGAATTCACCACGACAAAACATTGCTTTGATTTTCTGAAAGATGTCATTTGTGAATTGCAGATAATTACAAACTAAAGAATCATGTCGTATGGATCAGGTCAGAGGTTGGCATTTGCCGGGCTGGTGATTGGATTCCTGATGTGTGCCACTGGTGCTATTGCTCCTTTCTGGCAGCAAGGAAGTGTAAGCATGTTATTTCTGCAAACGTTACTAGAAAGGTTTTTATATCAGTGAACAACACAACACAGATTCTTATTTCCTCTTCTTTTGTCAGTGTCAGCTTTGTGCCATATCGCATATTGATGGATGATTAACAGGTGAACCAGGTGTTTGTTTGCATGCTGTGCTATGAGGTTCTAAGGTCTTGAGCTGTCAGTGACTTCTTCAGTCCATCTTCTTCTAGGTCTCCTTCTGCCTCTTGGTGTTTCCATTTTCATGTTGTATGTCTTGCTGCTGGCATTTTTGTGGTCATTCTCACTAGGTGGCTTAAACATTTCAGTCTTTTTTTATGATGGACAGTGTTTTGATGGTTCTTCTAATCTGTTTATTTCTCACTAGCTGTATGATAAACATGGCCAAAGAAACCTTTTTTTAGGGGTGTTTATGTGGTCATGTATCTTAGTACACTTGTTTCCATAGCGAGGCACACACGCCATATGGAGGTAACAGGTCTAATTCTTGGCACGGTAGCCATAGCTTTTGATTTTAATCTGGTCTGGCGTGTCTTTCTTTCTTTCTACTTCTTTCTGTGTGTGCCGATAAAAACATTGCCGGTTTGTTTATTATTTACATCTCCTTAGGTTTTGTTTGCAGCCTTTATAAGACATTAGGTGTTTTTTTTAATGTTCTTTTGTTATTGTGCAGATTGACACTGCTAACCTAAAGTTGGAATAAAGATTGTATTTATACAATACTAACTATAGAAGCAAAAAAAAAAAAAATGTTCCCCACAGCATAAATCTACACAACACAAAAGAAGCGGTTATTACTTCTCACAGCATAAATCTACACAACAACACAAAATAAGCAGTTATTACATCTCACAGCATAACATATTGTGTTTTGTTCCTATTATAAATGTCTGTTAAAGTTCTTCTCTAAGCTTTGCTGTCATTTTCCAGGTATGTTTTTATACCTCTCCGCCAACTGCTTTCCCAGTATGTTGTTGCAGTTGTCTTTTCTTAAATTGCTGTCTTTGTCCAGGTTTGTTGCTATACTTGATTTTTTCTGTCCACGTATGTTGTTTCCTCTACTTTCTTGTGTCTTATTGTTATTATCAAGATTTGATAAGTTTCTGGTATACTTTCCTGTCACTATATGTTATTACATTTCTGTTTTTTTTAAAATATGTGCTTTATGCTTTATTATAATTATTGGGGCATATTGTTATTTTTCTGTTATGTCTTGCTGTCATTACGTAAGCATGTTGTTACAGTTCTTTCTTTTTCTGTAGGGTATGTTATTGCAATTCTCATCTTGTGCCGCATTGGTTTTCCATGTTATGTTATCATTTCACAATTAACACTGCACATTGGGCATTCCCATGACTGCTCAATCCTCCAATGCGACAGCCACCACAAGGTACCATTATTATCCATGTATGTTGTTGCAGTTCTTCTATTATGCCTTCTGGTCATTATCAATTTATGTTGTTATACTTTCCTCTTTTGTGTGTGTGTGATTATCTTTCTGTCATTTTCTAAGTCTGTTGTTACAGTTTTCTGCTATTCTTTATTGTCATCATCTATGTCTGTAGTTTCAGTTTTGCCTTGTTGAGTTTATCCAGGTATCTTGTTACTAATCTGTTATGTTTTGCTGTCATCTAGGTATGATACAGTTTTGTTTGTTTGACAAGGTAAAGTCTTGGAAAGTAAAGGCAGCTGGTGTGATGTTGACTACACCACCCATTAAGTACCCATTGGTCTAAAAAAATCTAGGTCTAGCACCATATACCCAGTACACCTAAAGGCAAATAAAAGAACCTTTACGTATTCAAGATTCATAATAACTAGGTTCTGCAAAATATCCTTTCTCCTAGCAAACGTGTGATTATTTAAAACAAAACTGTTTCACTTCTTTTTGCAATAATTTCCAAGATGTTTACACTGACAGATGCATTCTTATTATAAAGTTGACCATTTTTTATGTGTGTATATGTGTGTGTTCCCCCCCCCCCCCCCAACACTTCCATGGGGTGCAAAGTGGAAGAGAAGAAGAAGATATGTGTGTGTGTTCCCCCCAACACTTCGATGAGGTGCAAGGTGAAAGAGAAGAAGAAGAAGATATGTATGTGTGTGTTCCCCCCAGCACTTCGATAAGGTGCAAGGTGGAAGAGAAGAAGCAGAAGAAGATATGTATGTGTGTGCTTCCCCCCCCCCCCCCCCCCCCCCCCCCAGCACTTCCATGGGGTGCAAAGTGGAAGAGAAGAAGAAGATATGTGTGTGTGTTCCCCCCAACACTTCGATGAGGTGCAAGGTGGAAGAGAAGAAGAAGATATGTGTGTGTGTTCCCCCCAACACTTCCATGAGGTGGAAGAGAAGAAGAAGATATGTGTGTGTGTTCCCCCCAACACTTCCATGGGGTGCAAAGGGGAAGAGAAGAAGAAGAAGAAGAAGATATGTGTGTGTGTTCCCCCCAACACTTCGATGAGGTGCAAGGTGGAAGAGAAGAAGAAGAAGATATGTGTGTGTGTTACCCCCAACACTTCGATGAGGTGCAAGGTGGAAAAGAAGAAGAAGAAGATATGTATGTGTGTGTTCTCCCCAGCACTTCGATAAGGTGCAAGGTGGAAGAGAAGAAGCAGAAGAAGATATGTATGTGTGTGTTTCCCCCCCCCCCCCCCCCCCCCCCCCCCCCCCCCCCCCCCCCCCCCCCCCCCCCTCCCTCCCAGCACTTCCATGGGGTGCAAGGTGGAAGAGAAGAAGAAGAAGATATGTGTGTGTGTTCCCCCCAACACTTCGATGAGGTGCAAGGTGGAAGAGAAGAAGAAGATATGTGTGTGTGTTCCCCCCAACACTTCCATGAGGTGGAAGAGAAGAAGAAGAAGAAGAAGATATGTGTGTGTGTTCCCCCCAACACGTCCATGGGGTGCAAAGTGGAAGAGAAGAAGAAGAAGAAGAAGATATGTGTGTGTGTTCCCCCCAACACTTCGATGAGGTGCAAGGTGGAAGAGAAGAAGAAGAAGATATGTGTGTGTGTTCCCCCCAACACTTCGATGAGGTGCAAGGTGGAAGAGAAGAAGAAGAAGAAGAAATGTGTGTGTGTTCCCCCCAACACATCGATGAGGTGCAAGGTGGAAGAGAAGAAGAAGATATGTGTGTGTGTTCCCCCCAACACTTGCATGGGGTGCAAGGTGAAAGAGAAGAAGAAGATATGTGTGTGTGTTCCCCCCAACACTTCGATGAGGTGCAAGGTGGAAGAGAAGAAGAAGAAGAAGAAGATTTGTGTGCGTTCTAGTATAAGATGGTTTAGGGGTAACGAGGACAGTTTGTAATTCCAAAATATCTGGTTTGATTCAGCTGCAGATAATATGGCAGCAGTTGACATTACAATGATTTTTGTCAATGTTATGGAGGGCCGACTGTTCACAAGTAATGGCCAACTTTTGAACGTAAATTGCCTAGCAAAATTAAACAGCAAACAGATGCTGAGGTTTGGTTTGTGGTGACCTGTAGTAAAGATGTGCGACTTATCGTTTTAACTACAATTTTTAAACTGTTTTGACTAGTGTTAAATTATCACAATCCATGTCTGCACATTAGGCATTCCCATGCACGCTCAGTTCTCAGATGCAGCAGCCATTCCAAGTTATCTCTGCTGATTATTCCCATGATGAGCTGGTTATAGTATCTCCTGTCTGTACCTCAAAGATGGCATAGACATTCTTCACCAGGCTTAATTCCTCAGCCACACAATCATGTTAGCATAAGAGATTCAGTACTACTACCCCCCCCCCCCCCCCCCCCCCCCACTTCCCAGTCCATATAGCCTTGATGATATCAGCTCTGTCCATGCTTCTTTCCTTTTGCATTGGTACGTTACTTGCAAACTGGTCAGCTGTTTCATTATCATTCAGTAATTTCACTATGCTGTTGACTTAGCCTATTATTCCCTTATCAGCTGGTCGTGCCAGGAACAGTTCTGCAAAATGGTGTCCACCTTGAGTGCTAGAGGTTCCGGGTTCAATCCCCGGTAAGGGCTGGGATTTTTCAAGTGGACTTTGACTTCTAGTAATTTCCCCTGATAGTGAGATCGGACACCCGTGTGCATTGTTGCGCACTTTAAAAAATCCCTTGGCAGTTGGAAATTAAAATGAGTAGCCTATTGGTGTTGCCCATGCAAAATTAAGAGTTAAAAACCTTGTCTAAAGTGACTGTGCACTGTGCTGAGCTTCTTCTGAGTCAGACTTTAGTTAGAAGAAGAACGGAGCACTGATGGGTTACTAACCGTGTGCCATGATGTTGATCCATTGTTCAGACTTCAAACTTGAAACATGAGCACAGTCATGAACTAAACGCTTGAAACCTTTGTTAACTCTTGTTAACTCAGTAACTTCCTGTCCTGAGAAATGGATCATCTAAGAAGATAGCATGGTGGCATGTATTCAGACACATTACCTAGAACGCAAATGATGGTGATTCGTGCGGGGGGGGGGGGGGGGGGGGGGGGGGGGGGGGGGGGGGGGGGGGGGGGGGGGGGGGGGGGGGAGGGGGGCGAGGGGGGGACGGGAGGGGGCGGGGGGGGCGGGGGGGGGGGGGGGGGAGGGACCGGGAGTGGGGGGGGGGGGGGGGAGGGGGACATTTCCCATATGGGTTCCGGGATCCAATTTGTGGGGGTCGGGTGTGAACAGACCCACTGCCTCTCTAAGAAGCATGTCGTGCACAGTGACTAATTAGAGGTGTTTCCTTTAAAGCCATACTGCAACTGCCTGAGAGGTAACTAACAGTATGCATACAAATAAGCCGAATCTGTAAAACAGATGTGCACACAACATTCAAGTTATGAAAGACCAAAGTCCAGAAATAGATCACCAATGAAAACTTTCCACCACAGTTTACCCATGGTGAATGCTAAGAAGAATAAGAAGAGGTGAGGAAATATGTATGCATTTGCCATTTAGCAAAGCACATGCTGATCATAATGTTAAAATATCTTCTCGTGCCACTCCTTCTTTGCAGATCGGCAACAATGAGTTTACTATATTTATCAGAGAAACAGTTTCATTCACTGGTGTTTTGCCATTATACGAGGAGCATTATAATGATCTTAATTAGTATCTTCTTGTATATTGGTTTCTGCAGATGAGCACTGAGTTTGTCAAATTTATCAGAGAAGCCGTTATACCCATAGGTACTATACTTTGTCACCGTCTGTGGTTTAAGGGTTGCAGACACGCTTTGTAATGCTGGGGTCCCAGGTGCGGGCGATTTGCAGCAGACCATCTAGCATATGTTTTGACAGTGTTACCAGAAGCTAAACATTCAGGAAGCAGTGGCGAACTACTGAATGTTAAAATTTGCCTAGAAAAGACAATAGCTCCCCCCCCCCCCCCCAAAAAAAAAATGAAAATGCTCGGTGTGGTTCTGCAAGAGGATTTGCAACTAACTTTGAACTATACTCTATGGTAAGGCACATTATAATGAAGTTAATTATTGTCTTCTTTTAGTAGCTTTGCTTCAGCATTAATGAGGGTTCTTTTGTAATATCCTACCCCAGATGATGTCACAGGACAGTCCAGTATTTTGGAGGATGGTAAGACTAGGTTTCCCAGCTTCCTGATACTTTTAACGACCCCCAAAACATCTAGAACTGGCCCTAACCCCAACCCACCTACATCTCGCGAGAGAGTGCAGCCTAGGTCACACGACTGCATGCAGCCCATCTACCACGCCCTGAAATATTAGACTTTCCCGTGACCTGTGGATTTTCCCTATTTGGGGTAGGATATTAAGAAAGCACCTTAATGAGTTTGCCAGATTTATCTGAGAAACAAATCCATTTACTGAATCTGTACGGTCTGGTGAGACACACTATAACCATAGTTATCTTCTTGTGTATTTGCTTCTGCAGATCAGCATCAATGAGATTATCAAAATCACTGGAGAATCCATTCCATTCATTGGTGACACAAAACTTGCCACTGTCTATGGTGGACTGTGGTGGTACTGTTTCAGCACTTTTCTGGGCGAAAAGCAGTGCAGACCGTATAACTTAGACAGTGATGATCCTGGTGAGTCTTACTGAAATCTGCTAAACTCATCATCATCTTGATGTGCCATTTATTTGACACAGAGAGCTCACGGTCAATTCTTCAATCTGTTCAATCATTAAAAGTCCTTTCTATATTGTGTATGGAATCCAGTCCGTCTTCTCTAAATAATGTTTTTATAGGGTTTCTCGTGGACATATATTCTCATTTATAATCCATTTGTTTGTCATTTCACTGCCTGCTTTGATATTCTTTTTTCTTCCCCCTTCTTCATCAGTACTTCTTCATCAGTACTTCTTCATCAGTACTTCTTCATCAGTACTTCTTCATCAGTACTTCTTCATCAGTACTTCTTCATCAGTACTTCTTCATCAGTACTTCTTCATCAGTACTTCTTCATCAGTACTTCTTCATCAGTACTTCTTCATCAGTACTTCTTCATCAGTACTTTTTCATCAGTACTTCTTCATCAGTACTTCTTCATCAGTACTTCTTCATCAGTACTTCTTCATCAGTACTTCTTCATCAGTATGTAATCTAGTCCGGGTCCTCTAGTTTTTGTTTTTTAAATAATGCGGATACAAACAATAGACTGCACAAGTTATTGCCAGGCATATTTTGCTGTATCTCATCAGGTGCATTACTACAGAGTTACATCAACATAAAATAAAGCACACAATTGAATAAATTCAACTGAAATGCGAATGGTTTTGTTGTTGTTGGTTTAAAAAAAAAAAAATATGATTTCTCTTAAACATTTTCACTTACTCAGTTCAGTTCATTTGCATACCATTTCACTGCTGGCTTTGATGTTTTTATTCTACCCAGCTTAAGCTCAGACTGTGTCCAGTATATAGTCATCTTGACTTAAAGCTATTGATATCAGAAGTTGTATAGACTTGTCTCTGATGACTTCTCCTTTCTTGAAGTCACCTCATGAATAATACCATGTCCCTCAAGTGTTTGTACTCAGCGCATGTTTCAAATACAAAATAATCCTCTAAAACATGCATGAATTGAAGGGGTACTGTGTGCATGAGAGAGAGAGAGAGAGAGAGTGAGAGAGAGAGATTCATTTATACAAAATTATTAATATATGTTATGTTTTTAAAAATAATTAATGACACTGCACATTGGGCATATCCATGATGCTTATTCTTCATATAATCATCTGAAGAGAACCTGAGTAGAATATATACACACTTAAAGATTTACTTGAGAACTGCAGAGCGAAATTGAACAATGCAACACAAAACAAGCCATGTATATTTATGTTAAGTTTACACAGACAATAAATTGCCTGGCATATTTTATTGTATATCATTCGTGAAGACTACATCATGTAATAAACATATACTAAAGCACGAGCTGCATTTATGTCTTGGCTAGATTTTGTCTGCCAAACTGAAAGCCGTGGGTTCAGATCTGCGCCAAGACAGAATTTTAAGTCAATCCAGCACTGTCAGGTTGACTCAAGCTAAACCTGGACATTTTCTGGGAAGTAAGGACATTGGGCAGAATGTTGACCATATTACCTGTGAAACTATCTTGGCTGTACTAACAGGGAGATGCCGGGGTGAACGGAAATGAAAGAGCTGAGAAACTGGCTCTGCCTGCAGTGATTGGTGAAGGAAGAAGTTGGACATTGCAGTCTTACTGAATGAACTGCATTCTAGAGACTTTGAGATAAAGGAGTCAGGGACATTGAACAGTCAGTTGGAAGTGGTATTAGGCAAGGACAAGCCTGCAGAAACTAATTGTGGGGCACCGAAAAGAAGATACGCCGGTCAACTCCTATTGGGTACGTTGAGCATGGAAACACTAAGATGGCTGCTTCTTGAGAGGACGGAGCTCAAATGGGTTGGACCAGGCTGCCAGGATGTTTAGGAACAACAAGTAATAACTCATGGAATGCTCATTTTTCCGTACATTTATGAGTCTAATATCCTGTGCCTGATGTACCAGTGTCACGAAGAAGATTCTTTACTTGTGTTTTGAGTAAATAAGTTTTTTTGTAATTTTTACATACATATTATAGTTGTATCTGACTATAGGCAAACATACATAATGACTCCATGAACATACGCAGTAAGAAATTTTCGCTGCACAAATATCACACACACACATGCACACACACACATACACACACACACACACACACACACTTACAGTCTCTCTCTGTACTGTATGTGTGTATGTGAATAACATATATATATATATATTATTGTGTGTGTATGTGTGTGAGTGTATATATTAGGGCTGTACCGAATATTTGCTTCGGGGCCGAATAGTGGACCTATTGACTATTTCGTAATCGGCCAAATAGTTGCGGTCGGGCCGAATACGAATAGCAGTTACATTCCACCCGCTTCTGCATACATGGCCTTAATGCTGACAACATGGAACAATTGGTTTTGTTGAAAGCTAATGCAGCTTTCCTGCATTAACTAAGCTGTCAGTGACAATTTTTAAGTTTAGTTTCTTGTTATAATACTTAGGATTCTTTCACTCTTAGTTATTAGTTACCACAGACTAACTGAAGGATGCAAAACATAAAATGTTTTTAAATGTTTACTATTATGTACGAATACTAACTAGACATGAAAAGAATATAAACTCCGGCCACATCCAAGTCGATAATATGAAAATTAAACGAACGGAAACATATGAGTACTTGGGTGCATCTTCAACTGCTCCAACATGCTGAGAGAAGAAATACAATCTAGAAAACAATCTAGAAATAAAGTATTCTATGTCCTTCAACATCTGCTAAAGTCAAAGTGTCTGTCTCGCAACACCAAGATCAAAATATATAAAACGATAAGACCAGTCATTTTATATGGCTCTGAAACTTGAAGCAGAAATAAAATAGATGAGGCCTTATTACCGGTTTTCGAAAACAGTCTTACGACAAATCTTTGGACCCATCAAAGATGCTAACAGCAGGGAATGGAGAGTGAGAAGCAACAGCGTACACCTAATCTGTTTAAATCACCATTGATCACTGGCATCATGAGAGCTAACAGACTAAAATGGTTTGGGCATATTGAAAGAATGTCAGATGACAAAGAAGTAAAAACTGTATACACCTGAGAGAAGAATAGGCGTAGACAACGAGGCAGACAAAAAATAAGTCCAGCCAGACCTGCAAACAACTGGTGTCACAAATTGTGTAGAGAAGGCCAGCCAGAGAGATGAATGGAGACCAGTGATATCAGCAGCAGTAAACCTCAAGGGCTCAGAATGCCTAGGAAGAAGATGACTATTCTGTGCTACTTTATGTTAAGTAAAAGTTCAGCGTACAATAGACATTATGAATGTGTGTGTTTTTTAAAAAAAAAGATATATTTTATACACTATACACTATTTGTATTCATATTCGGCCGATTAGTTGGTCCCGCTATTCGTATTAGACCGAATAGTGAAAATCACTATTGGGTACAGCCCTAGTATATATACATATTTGTTTTTATATATACATATACAGAGGTTTCAGCTAATACAAAAGTCTATGGTTATAGCAATGATGTTAAATTGTGTCATGTCATATTTAAGGGGAATGTGAAGTCGCAGACGCTCATATGACATAGGAACATCAGTAGTGACTAGACACTCACTTGCTAGCCTGAAGGTCAAGGGTTCACGGTGGATTTTTTCAAAATTGATATTTCTCCAGGCGGACCCAACCTACAGTGGGCACCAGTTAAATGTCAACGGGATGTTCATCCCATCCATCATCCTTCGAATGCCAGCTGGTCTATGATATTTAGCTCTGGCACCATATAACTGATATGCCAAATGATGCAGAAAGGGTCCTCTCTCTCTCTCTCTCTTCTCTCTCTCCCTCTCACTCTCTTTCTCTCTCTCTCACTCTCTCTCACTCTCTCTCTGTCAAACATATAAACAGCACAGACATAGATTTTACAGTATCAATTCCTGTTGACATCTAAATGTAGTGTATTTTTATCTTGAAGCACAAACTTGGGTTATCCGCATTGCATGTGTGGTGAATGTCTTTCTGACACTGGCTTGTGCGCTGACTGCCCTGTGTCGCACATGCTGCTGCGGTGGTGGCAAAACCGTCTTCCATGGAATTATTGCTTTTCTGGCAGGTAAGATTTTTTTTTGTGCTACTCTTTTCCTCTCCTTTTTCCCTGCAGTTTTTATTTGTATGTTAAAGATGTCAAGTATGCTAAAAAAAAAATGTGCGTTAAAGTGCCGTATAGAACCTACGCTGATTTATGCATGAGAAACAAGAATGAGCAGGTAGGGTGAAACAAAAATATCTAATGACAGTGGTTTCTGAGAAAATGCAAAGAGTATCTTGTCTGACAGAAAAACAGAAAAAAAAGACAGTTCTCCTCAGGGTGATGCAAACCACAGACATATTGGACAAATTAGATGCGGACAGAAGTTTTTTTAATATAGTTAGTCGTAGTGGACCAAGAGGTGAAAAAAAGATGCTGGTATTGGATCGGACACACATGGAGAAAACCAGAGAACAATATAACTAGAATGTCTTTGAATTGGAACCCACAGGGGCATAAGAATAAAGGAAGGCCAAAATACACATAGAGAAGGGAGCTGGAGAATAAAGTTAAAAAGATGGATAGGACATGGGTAGAGCTGCTTGCGATAGCAAAGGATAGAACTACTTGGTGTGAGTTGGTTGAGGGCCTATGCTCCATTGGGGGGCTAGAAAGGCAGAAGAGACATGTTGTGAGAAGAATTAAACTCAAAAACACTGACAACTGGCAGATGTGATGAGAAGAGATCAATGAAAAGGTAAAGAGATATACTGGCAATGAATTCCTTTCCCTTGCCTTATAACACCCTTTTCTATATATTAATGCAGAGAATGGAAGAACCTGAAAAAGAACATTACTTTTCACAGTTTAAGGAATGTTGAGTTAAGAATCAACACTACAGCACTCGGGGACACTCCCATAAGTGCTCAATGCCCATCTTCAGCAGCAAGTGAAGAGTTCCAATTCCGATAGTACCAGTAACCATTTGTGTGTAAATCCGTCTCATCCTTCCCCTGAGTTTAGCGAGCGTCGGCCAGATCAACTGGTAGCTACTCGCAGCACCATTCTCCTCAAACCGTAATGATCTATCTGCACCTCTGCACTGTTTAGTCGCTCCCAAAAGGCCCTCACAACATCTAACTTGTCATACATCAGTTCACATCAGTCCGATCATTATCTGTCCCTACCCACACAGTTATCAAGAGTCTGATCATTATCTGTCCCTACCCACACAGTGATCAAGAGTCTGATCATTGTCTGTCCCTACCCACACAGTGATCAGAGTCCGATCATTATCTGTCCCTACCCACACAGTGATCAGAGTCCGATCATTATCTGTCCCTACCCACACAGTGATCAAGAGTCTGATCATTATCTGTCCCTACCCACACAGTGATCAAGAGTTTGATCATTATCTGCACCTACCCACACAGTGATCAGAGTCCGATCATTATCTGCATCTACCCACACAGTGATCAGAGTCCGATCATTATCTGCATCTACCCACACAGTTATCAAGAGCCTGATCATCAGTAGAGACATCTTTGCTTTATGTTCTGACTAGCATAGATGCTCTGTTTAGCTTAATCAGAGAGTTGCAGAGATTTTAGAATTTAAAAATTGTAACATAAATGGCTGCATCTTCCCTTTTATGAGCAGAATGTCTGCATTTTACATGTTGTCTATCTATAGGCAGTTAATAATGAGTTATTATTGAGGTTTGAGCTTTGCGGTTTGAACAACAGAACAACATCATGGCACACAGGTAGTAACCCATAAGTGCTCTGTTCTTCTAACTCAAGTCTGAGTCTGAAGAAGCTCAGCACAGTGCACAGGCTCTGTAGCACCGGCGAGGATCCTGAAATACTTTGAATAGATTTTAAGCTCCAAATTTTTCCCGGGCAGTGCTGTTAGTCTACTCTTTTCCAACTGCCAAAATTTTGGCGTCCGATCTCACTACCCAGAGATTGGGGGAATTAGAAGTCCAAGTCCACGTGAACAAATCCCAGCTCTTAACAAGGATTGAACCCTGAACCTCTAGCACTCGAGGCGGACATCATGCCTCAAGACCACGCAGCCCCTGAGTTATTATCGGTATATAGGTTACTTGAAAAGTAACTGTATACCTACTATCTGTCAGGCATGATGTGTGTATAATGAGGTGTAATTAATGTTTAAACCTGTTTCCCTGCCTCTTTTTATGTCTAAAGGAGCTGCTGGCCTCACCGTTGTTGGAGTATTTGCATCTACAGTCGAAGATGGCTTTGCTATGAAACTGAATTTGGTGCAGTATGGCTGGGCATTCTTTATCTACATTGCTGGTTCTGCCATTGTGGTTCTGGTGTCCTTCTTGCTGTGCTTTGCTTCACCAAATAATCCACTGACACCCATGGTTAGTAACTGTTGTTGTACATCACACTTTTTGAAATTGCACACATAAAATTCACAGGTAGAGAAGTGGGTTCCTGTGAACAAGATACAAGGGGAGGTGTTGCATGGAGGGGGATATTAGAATGGGAGTAGGGATAGAGGATACACTTATTGCCTTTGGTTATGAGCTGAGTGTCTGAGTAGCATATATATATATCAACAATGGTTTTGAAATCCCATGCTCTCTTCTTAGAACAGCCTCTGAGGGTAGAGGTTAGTGAATGTGCTTGACAATTTCATGAACCTCGAGTGGTAGGGTTTGTCAAACATAGCAGGGGGTTAAGAAAGTAACTGTTCTCATGGTTTTCGGACACTGGTGTGAGAGTCACACCATTGAAGAGATTGGGACTTCACCACATAATATTCGCAAAGACAGTAGTGGTTCACTGTAGCCAAACTTGCTTGTGTCAATCAGCTGTCGTTGTGGAACATTTCTTAATGTAGTGGGTCATGTTGGTCACACTCCCCATCACCATGTGCTGTGTCACCTATGCCACTCTTCAACACTGTCATCTGGAAAGACAGAAAGGTGCCAACCATATAGGACTTAAATGTGACAAAAAGATTCTTAAGAGTATCAAGGAAGAGGCAAAATACGTCATTTTTCTGAACATAGAGGTGAACACAGTAATGGACATTGTGATCTAAACTGTTTTGTTCATATTAAATTCTATAATGGTCTGGAGAGAGCAGTTAGGACACTCATCCTTCTGCCCTACTGAGCATCATTAAGTCATTCCACTCAAGCTTGAGAGGCACATTATACGTAAAGTGGAGATGCCTTCTTGTAGACTTTTCAAAGTGCAGTCAGCACTCAGTGGATTATGTGGTTAAATTCCTGTTGACCTGCCTGCCTTTGCTTCCCAGGACATTTCTGCAATCACTGTGAATAGTGGTGACATTAAATGAAGGATTTGTCTATAAATGAAATATCTTTATATGTAGTAAGTTATTAGTTTATAAATAATTATGTTGTCCATCCTCCCGACTTTAACCTTTATGGTGAGTCTTCAAATTATTGGATACATTTGTTTATAATCATCAGCGACTGTGACTTAAAATGTGTTAGTTTAGTTGTACAGGTTCTGCCTAGGGTGACAACAGATAATTTAGTAGCAGACAACTATGTGTTAATGTTGACAATGGCATGAGTATCTTTATACAGATTGGGAAGCTTTGGCAAACCACTGAACGTTTAACCCTTTGACCCCATAATATTTTATTTATATGAGCTCTTCCAAGTACATTGGAAGGGAACATAAATTGACTGACTGACGTTTTACCCCACCAGGACATCACACTGAGTGGTAAACACCCGGTGACACAAAGTGCCACCATTTGAATGAGGATCACCTGGGGACAGGTCCCAGGACCCTGTTGAACCCATAGGTTGGGTTTTTATTAGGGCCTACAACAGAAGTCTTTCCTCTTGAGCCTAGAGAGTCACATAGGGCAGACGTCATAGCTCTCCATGCCTGGCGTTTCGTTGCCACCTGATTTAGGTCTTGGATGTTTATTAGGCCCATAGTTAAGCCTTCCCTGATGATGGTTCTACGCAGAGTCTCTCTTGGTCTTCCCCGTTTTCTTTTTTTGGTGTCAGTATGAGGGTTTGATGGGAGAGTCTTGTCTTATCCATTCTGAGTGCATGGCCGATGTAATACCAGCGGCACTTTCTTATAAAATTTGATAACACTTTATAGCTTGGTCTCTTGTTTTATTTGCATATTGGATCTGAAATCTGTCCAGTAGAGATTCAGTACTCTTCTAAGACATCTGTTCTAAAAATTGTCTAATTTTTATCAAGAGTTACAGTAGACTGATTGAACATAAATTTACCTTGAGAAACTAGAGGAAGAGAAGAAGAAGTAGAAGAATTTTAGAATCTTGGATCAGTTTTTATTTTAAATAAATACACAAAAATAAAAAACAAAAAGAAACAGGAGGTTCCAATGTGTGACCACTGGACAGTCAGGCAAACCTTTTAGCCACCACAGAAGAAAAATGGTAGGAAACTACCACTAGCATTACCCAGTTTTGTCTTTTTCAGGACGAAATTTTTTGTCATTTGAAGCCCCACCCTGATTTTTGCCAGGGGCCGCAATATAGGCAGGCCATAAATATGGCCAATTGTCTGAACGCAGTTTCTGGGACCTCTCCACGACGATACTCATCCGCATGGTGGCCCTTTGTGTCATCGGGTGTTTATCGCTTGTGTGATGTCCTAGTTGGGTAGACAGTCAGTCAAAGTGGTAGGCAACAAATAAAGGGAAGTAGTCAATAAACATAAATATGGAGAATTAAGTGCATTCATCCCCTATGGTCAACAAAAATATTTTCATTGACATTAGCATGTTGTATAAAATGATGTCACAGTTGTGACACAGTGACCTCACAATAATTAAAAAGGCATATTTTTACAACCCAATAAAATTTTCAAATGCTATTTTAGAAAATATAATCATACCTGACCCATCTACACCCTGTGCAATCACAAATGGTACCAAAACTGTTGAATAAGTGAAGCGGCTACTGCCCAAGTCTGTAGTGACTAGAAAACCCAAAAGGCAGCAAGAACAGGACTCTTGGGGTGACAGGGTTTATTGTCTTGTAAAACCACACAGCAAATAATAAATCCTAGGGTTTAATCTTTAATTAGGAATAAATATCACAGCATATGGAACATTCCTATAAGCGATCTATCCACATCTTCAGCAGCAGGGGCGCATAGTTCCAGTTCTGATGGTACCACTAACAGTCTGGTTGTTAATTAGTCTCATCTTTTCCAAAGAACCCTGGGGTGAAGTCCTGAAGTTAGTTAGTCTTTTCCCATTGATCTAGGGCGGCACATAGGGTAGAGGTTGTAACTCTCCATGACTGGCTGTTTATTGCCACCTGCTTTAGGTCTTGGATGTTTGTTTGGCCCATGGTTTAGCCTTTCCTGATGATGGTTCTGCATAGTGTCTCTCTTAGTCTTCCCCATTTTCTTTTCACTTTCTGAAGAGGACATATAAATAAAATATATTGTTTATGTATTTCTAATCACTGCTATATCTAATTTAACCCTTTTAGCATGGATTGGCCGATTATCGGCCGGCGGGTGTCTGGCCAAAAACACGGAACGGCCGATCATCAGCCCAATCGTTTTTCGCCTCGAACCGCTAAGAAATCTCCTATTTTGAAACATTGAAAGTGATTTATTCATATTCACTGCTGTATAAGCTTTACACATGGCGACTTTCGAGTGTTTGGTATCGAAGTGAAAATTGGTGTTGAATTTTTTAGATAGTGACCTGAACCGCTAAAAGTGTATCTGACTCGTATGTTTCTGCCCCTAAACTTGATGTTGATAAAACATTTGAATCAAGTGATGACACTAATTCTGTTGATACTGATGCAGGATTTAGTGTTAGTAGTGATAGTGGGAATCAGATGGGGACGCTGTTGTGTTTAGACCACAGCCCAACCATGGCTCAGGGTATTTGCACCCAAAGGTGTTGACACTCCGGCACATCAATTTTTTGTGCTGACTGATGGTGAAAAACACATGTCACCTAAAGATATTATTGCTTTTTCATATATATATATACCTGTTTTTGACTATTGAATTGCTTACAACATTTGCGAAAAGCCAAAGATCAATAAAAAGATTTCAAATAATAAAATTTTTGTTTTTAGTTTTATGTTTCAAGCATTGAAGTTGAAAATTCAAATTCAAATTTTCTATTTTTAGATATGCAAATGAGATAATTTTAACGATATTGTGAAAATCATGAACTTCAATCTATATCCTTCAAATAGAAATATTATTTCATGGGGGTCAGAATAACAGAAATCTGTCAAAAAAATTAAATAAAGTAATAACCAAATTCACTGAAAAAATGCTCCATGTTTTTGGCTAGACCTCTGAAAAACTTCCCGTGCTAAAAAGGTTAATGATGTGTAATCACTGCTATATCTAATTTTACTGATGTATATTTTTGATCACTCAGGGTATTTGCACCCAAAGGTGTTGACACTCCGGCACATCAATTTTTTGTGCTGACTGATGGTGAAAAACACATGTCACCTAAAGATATTATTGCTTTTTCATATATATATATACCTGTTTTTGACTATTGAATTGCTTACAACATTTGCGAAAAGCCAAAGATCAATAAAAAGATTTCAAATAATAAAATTTTTGTTTTTAGTTTTATGTTTCAAGCATTGAAGTTGAAAATTCAAATTCAAATTTTCTATTTTTAGATATGCAAATGAGATAATTTTAACGATATTGTGAAAATCATGAACTTCAATCTATATCCTTCAAATAGAAATATTATTTCATGGGGGTCAGAATAACAGAAATCTGTCAAAAAAATTAAATAAAGTAATAACCAAATTCACTGAAAAAATGCTCCATGTTTTTGGCTAGACCTCTGAAAAACTTCCCGTGCTAAAAAGGTTAATGATGTGTAATCACTGCTATATCTAATTTTACTGATGTATATTTTTGATCACTACTGTATCTAATTTACTGATGTCTTGCTATGGTTGTTTCTTTTTTCCCCCACAGATAATCAGTACAGTGAACCATGTGCTTCCCAACGGCAGATACACCAGGATGACCGATGAGCGTGTGCTGATTGAACAGCCAGGCAGAGAAACTCAGCTGGCTTACCCACAAGTTCAGAGTTATTAAACATCCAGCTTTCTTGGGATGGCCTGTCGACTGCTAGAAAATAATACTGTTTCTTGAACTGACATCCACACACACTAATAATACTAAAATACAGGGGTTCTAAAGAGACTTGGAAAATAAAAATAAAAAATAAAAGATAAGGGAAATATTCCTGCCATATTTAAAGACATAATACTCTTTGCCAAGCCATAACGGAGGGGACATTTTGAGGCAAGGGAGCAAGAGGTAGACAGTGAGACAGATGGGACCAAGATGAGAGATAGAGTGTTGGAGATCTATTGTAACCAACCATTAATGAGACAGCATTTGATTGATTAATTTCGTAAATTAACAGTCACTTCACACTAAAAACACATTTTTGAGATTTCAAATAACTTTTACATCTTTTGGGGCAGTGATGAAAATGAAAATAACTACAAAAAAACGCCTAAAGTGAGTTTGTTAAATAGTATTAATTGATTTAAAAATAGCAGAAGAGCCACCATTAGAATGATTCAGGCATATTCAAATGTCTGTGGTTGTAATCTTTAACATTTTTGCATCTTGTTGTTTCCATATTGTAACATCCTGAGTATATTGCACAACTTTTGAACATTTTATCAGAGTTTGTCCTATTTTTGCCACATTCAGTGAAGATAATAATCAATTTTGTTTGGCCAACAATAAAAGTAGATGCTTGTAAATGTAAATTCAGCTTAATGTTTCCACCTGAGCTGGTTCATTGTTTATTGAAGACAAAATCAATGTTTTGTTTACTAAATATGGAAACTGAAACCTTATTTCAGAATACTTCACCAACACCTTTCAGACTGAAAAAATAAATGTGTACCTAACTAAGTTAAGGACACTTTTTCATTTTTTCCGGCTTTTTCGGCATATAGGGCTAGACCTACATTTTCATGTTGCATTTTTTAATCTTTTGAGAGAACAGAATACAACAAATTGCTATTGTAAAATATAACTTTGAAAAATAAAAATAAAAAGAATTCCCCATGGATGACTTTTGTTAACCCTTCCAGTTGTAGGTAGCTTTCTTCAGCTCTTTCTATCTTAAGGATATTTAGATTAAATAATGGCTGCCTGAATCTAGAATGATTGAAATAATACCATTTTGGGACAAAGTATGTTGAAATGTCAATTAGCATGAATTAATATTATATCTTGAAAGGGCACAAAAAGTTGATAAAAACATAAATTTAAGGGACCTCTAATAAATTCATCGTGTGTTGGTTTGTACAGAGGGAGTTAAAGTGTTGTCATTTGTTTTTTTGCAGAATTTTTCTAGCAATCGTTTTGAGATTGGCAGAAGTGTAGTGTTGCTTCAGTACCAATTTTTGTTTCAGACTAAATTTGATTCCCAATTTCATGTAAATATTTGTAGTTAAGTATTGCTGTGTTTTTTTCCTTGAAATATTTCTTAACGCAATGGTGGGTTTATAACCATGAACACATACTCTGCTTTCTTTGCTTTGTAGAATTAGTATTTTTTGGAACTTGTTCACGTGCTGTTTAGTTTTGTATTTGTTTCATTAATTTTGATTTCAACATGTCAATTACTTTATCATGCAGTTAATTAATTACCAATATATCAACAGTGGGATGAGTAAACAGTTTAAACAACATACATGTAAAATCTGAAAACCAGAATGTAAATTTGTTTTAACATAGGAACTTGGCAAGTTTGTTTTCAAAAGATGCCTTAACACTTTTGTTTTTTGAGCACTTTATTTAAAATAATATTTGTTCTCAGAATATTACACTGGCTTAATAATTTTTATTTTTGAAATATTATATTAACACTTTTGCTTTCCGAAACACTACATTAAACTTAACATTTATAAATCATTATATTAAACTTAACAATCATTTTCAAAATGTTCATGTGAACTGTTTCATTTGAATCAAAAATACTATTTAAACTCTTCATCAACAGAACGTGGCCTGTATTTGGGACCACTATCTTCAAGTGTTCAGGACTGAATAAGGAAAAAAAAAAACTTCTAACCTGCATAGTCAATGGCTAGAGCACTAGCCATACAGTCTCAGGTTCAAAGACCGCTCTGCCTACACTCCAAAAGTGGTAAACATGGGCAGTAATGTCCATGTTTTGTTACTGTAGGCAGAGGTAACTTCTATTGAGCTTTTTATTTTATTTTTTGCTTGTGGGGGGGGGGGGGGGGGGGGGGGGGGGGTACCTGGTGGTAAACTTTACATATGCTGATTAAAACATTTACAGTGTTAGTATATTTTCTTAAACAACTGACATTCCTAATTAATAATCATCACGGTAAAGTAAAATTCCTCCTATCAGACCCTACCTTAATTTAATGTTTGGATTTTATTCCCGGTGTGAGGATCATACAACCAGTAACCATTTTTATACACATGGTTCATTGGATGTCGGCAAGCTATGATGGATGCCTTATGATGAGCATAAAAGTTGACATTTTTTAGATGAAATGTTATAAAATATGCAGTGAAGAAAATTGAATTAAATTGTCCCGGGGATACACACATGCACGCGCGCCCACACACACACACATACACAGAGATCATAAATATAATTAAAAAGAATGTATATAACTAAGGAGTAATTTATAATAAGAAACATGTAACCATAAATACATTTATAACTAGCCAAAAATATATAACAAGTAATACACATATAACTAGGCAAAAATATATAACCCGTAATATTTATATAAATTTATATATGTAAAACTGGGCAGAAATATATAACCAGTATTATGTGTATAGTTAGTCAGAAATAAATAACCAGAAATGCATATATATAACTAGTCAGAAAAATATAAACTAGGTAAATATTCATAGCCAGTAATACATGTACAACTAGGCAGAAATATAGAACCAGTAATACATATATAACTAGGCAGAAATATAGAACCAGTAATACATATATAACTAGGCAGAAATATAGAACCAGTAATACATATATAACTAGGCAGAAATATAGAACCAGTAATACATGTACAACTAGGCAGAAATATAGAACCAGTAATACATGTACAACTAGGCAGAAATATAGAACCAGTAATACATGTACAACTAGGCAGAAATATGGAACCAGTAATACATGTACAACTAGGCAGAAATATAGAACCAGTAATACATATATAACTAGGCAGAAATATAGAACCAGTAATACATATATAACTAGGCAGAAATATAGAACCAGTAATACATGTACAACTAGGCAGAAATATAGAACCAGTAATACATGTACAACTAGGCAGAAATATAGAACCAGTAATACATGTATAACTAGGCAGAAATATAGAACCAGTAATACATGTACAACTAGGCAGAAATATAGAACCAGTAATACATGTACAACTAGGCAGAAATATAGAACCAGTAATACATGTACAACTAGGCAGAAATATAGAACCAGTAATACATATATAACTAGGCAGAAATATAGAACCAGTAATACATGTATAACTAGGCAGAAATATAGAACCAGTAATACATATATAACTAGGCAGAAATATAGAACCAGTAATACATATATAACTAGGCAGAAATATAGAACCAGTAATACATATATAACTAGGCAGAAATATAGAACCAGTAATACATGTATAACTAGGCAGAAATATAGAACCAGTAATACATGTACAACTAGGCAGAAATATAGAACCAGTAATACATATATAACTAGGCAGAAATATAGAACCAGTAATTAAAAAAAAAAAAATTTTTTTTTGATTTTTTTAGCAATGTCAGAAATACTGTACCAGTATGTTTTGTTTGTGTGGGTGAAGTAGAGACAGTGGTAAAAAGTTATATATTTAATAAATGAGACTACAAGCAAGTGGGTAATATGTTTAAAATTTAGATTGCAAATGTGTTGTTATTATATTTAATAATTGAAACTGCAATCAGGATATTATGTTTAATAACTGGAAACATGATATTCGTTTTAACAATTAAGACTGTGAGCAAAATATGTTATGTTTAGTAATTAAAGAGGATATTAAATTTACTAATTTAAAATACAGTATGTTCTGTTTAATTATGGAGTGTACAGTGTATGTTATATTTTTTCTTTGTATGTTTCTATTAGTGTTCAATAAGGATCTGTTCAGATTTACGGCTTTTACGGCATAACTGTAATTTCTCATTGTTAAAGCATCAAAAAGGTATACAACATGGGCCAGTTTGTTGTCCAGTTTTTGTCACACATATCTTTTCACAACTCAGTATGACATTACACATATCTTTACAGTAATATCATATTGCTTGTCATTTTTTGCCTGAAAAATAAACCTGTTTAACTCTTTGCATAATAGAGCAGAGAGACATAGAGCAAGAGATGGATCAAGAAAAAATTGAAAGATAACATCAGAGAAACACAAATTATGACATCTCTGTGGTTAAAGGGGGCCAAAAGAGCTAGAATCAGAACCCTATACCTCTCCTGATACCTGAAATGGTACAAAGGAAGTGAAGAAGAAGAACAAATCTTCACACTTTCTCCATGATCAGCTCAGGAATTGTCTTTTTCTCTTGGTATTTTTACGTGATCATCGAGCTCTAGAGTCAGTATTTCTGAAACATATTTTGGGTGTGAGTAGAAACCTTTTGTTGTTTGTTTTAAAAAAGTTTCTTTTGTCTTGAAAGCATGGTAATTATGTGTTTTTATTAACATATAGATTCCTTTGATTTGAACCAAAATTGCTTATTGGTAATGAATGAAAAGCTACATATGTTTTTCTTAGAAAACTTCGATATAAAATTATATTACTGTGCAGGTAAATATGAGTCATATTAAGTAGTGTAAAGGTACTTACAAAGTTTTAATTAATGTTAAAATACTTATACAAAGTCTTGCTCAATGTTACAGATTTAAAGTCATTTTAGCCATCATTAAGTATCTACAGCCATACTGAGCTTTATCAAGATATGTGTAAAACCATATAGAATCAGGACTGTATTGCTGAAAGGGGATGTAAATTAAAGAAGTGATTCTTGAATTT